TCCGTCCACCCCTGCTGCTGCCAGCCTCCCGCGCCCTCTTCCTTTCGGGCCGCCCACGCCCCTGGGCTGAGTGATCTCTGTCCTCTCTCTTCCGCTGACCACCCATCCTTCCCTTAGGCCTTTGACCCGCTCTGCCAGGGGTTTTCCAAATGTGCGTGTGCCTGTGCATGTATCCCTATATGTGTGTATCTGTGCGTGGGGGGCTGTGCACCCGTGTGATCTCCTCCCCCCTTTAATGATCTCACCACCTGCACTGCCCAGGGCCCAGTGCAGGCCCACCCATCCAAGGAGAAGTCAGCCCTTGTTGAATTCAAGAAAAGAGCCTGCCAGTTCACCTTGGTCCTCGTCACCATGTTCCCATCGCAGAGGATTGCTGTGGCAATTGTCTAGGGCCACCTCTGTCAGCCACCCGACAGCGCCGGCAGATGCCAGTGGAGTCCCCTGGACAGCAGAGCAGCAGCCCAGCATCTGTTCCTGCTGCTTCACGTTAGTCCAGGCTGTAGGCTGAGCGCAGTAAAAGCTGACAGGGGTGGTGTGATTTTCCCACAAAAAATCTTGACAAAGTGATAACATTTTCTTACTTGAAATGTGCCAGACACTGTATCTGGCACTTGTCTCAACAGGCAGGCATACAAAAAGGTATGTCCAATCAGTGTACCCATTTCACGTCTGAGGAAACCGAGGCCCCAGGAGGCCCAATAATTCCTGCAAACTTGGAAGCTGGGAAGTGGATCTGCTGGCTTTCCAGCTCAGACTTCGTGCCTCAAATGCCGCCTCCTGACACCACTTCCCAGGAACAGGGTTCGCCCTGGGGTAGGGAGCCAGCATTATGCGGGGAGACCCTTAGGTAGCAGAATGCAAAGGGTTTTCCTCTGGGGCCATCAGTTTCTGAAAGAAAACATTTGTTGCCAGTAGGGATGGGGAAGACTCACAGCTGGCCCAGGGGACGAGCAGTGGGGGAGGGGCTCGCTCCATTACAGACTCCCAAGGAGACCCATCCTGTGGCATCCTAGGTCTGGGGCCTCCCAGCCACTGCCTTTCGATCACTACCCTGCTATTGATTCACTCATTCAATATTGTTTAGTACCCGCTACGTGCCACACTATCCTAGACTCTGAAACAACAGTGAATGAAGTAAAACCCCTGCACTAGTGGGACAGAGTAAAGACGACAAATGAGCCAAAGTGTCATGAGTGTGGGACAAACTGAAACCAGGGAAGTGGGTGCTGCCGTTTTGAGTAAGGGACCCGGTGCAGGTCCCACTGAGGTGACGTGTGAGCAAAGTCTGGACTCCTCTGTTTCCTCTCCCATGTCCCTCTGCTGAGAACTTAGACTTCTGACTCCTGGTGTGATGAATGGGCTCCTGGGACGGAAATGCATGTGCTCACTCTTTCACCTTCCCCGGGAAGGCCTCTTCCTGACTCCCATGGGCCGTGAAGGGCTGAGCACGGGGTGCCAGCAGCCAGACAGGGAGCCGCGTCCCGGATGGGAGTAGGGAAGAGGCTTTCCCTCCAGCAGGAGGCGGTGGAAAGGAGCCCAGCACGCGGAGTGAGGCTCACAGCCTCGGGTGACTCTGGGCAGGTCACTGCCCTCTGGGCCTCCTTAGTGAAGGGTAACATGAAGGGCCAGGTCTGATTCACCCCCCGCCCTGCCCCCACCCGCCCTCTCCCACAGCAGGCGTCCGGGACAGCAGCCCTGGCTGAGAGCTCCCAGTGACCCATGGGGGAAGGGCGGGAAGCTGGAGTTTGGGGTTCTTCCCATCCTGGCAGAGGCCGCGTCAGGCTCAAGCATTCTGAGAACTGTCTGGGAAGAGCTTGGGGGTGGCCTGGGGCCTTCCCTACTCATGTACCTCAAGGTCCAGAGCAGTGGTTCTCAACCTTCTAGCCCTTTAAATACAGTTCCTCATGTTGTGACCCAACCATAGAATTATTTTCGTTGCTACTTCATAACTGTAATGTTGCTACTGCTATGAATTGTAATGTAACTATCTGATATGCAGGATGGTCTTAGGTGACCCCTGTGAAAGGGTCGTTCAACCGCCAAAGGGGTTGCGACCCACAGGTTGAGAACTGCTGGTCCAGGGGACTGTGGTTTCAGGCATGGCTGGCTCCAGGAGCTCAAGAGAGATTCCCAGGGCTATGTGGCCATCTCCCAAGTCCGCTTTCCTGGGTGCTGGGAGGCCTGTTTCCTCCTGGTGCCCCCCGCAGCTCAGCAATCCCAGGAGAAGGTGCATGGACCAGCTTGGGCCACATGTCTTCCCCTGACAGGGACTGTGGCCGCGGGGGATGGAATGCTCGGTTGGCCAGGCCTGGGTCCGTAGCCACTCCACAGCTGGAGCCAGCCATCCCCATAAGGGTGCTGCACAGGGAGAAGCACCCACAGGTGTCCGCTGAGTTTCTTGCCTCTTGACCTCAGTCCCTACAAGCAGAGCACAGTGAGGAAGAGCTGGACTTGGGATCGGAGACCAGAGCTCAGGTTCTGACTCAGCTTTACTCAGTGGGTGACCTCAGGAGGTCGCCGGCCCATTCCACACCTTCGCTTCAGAGCCTGCGATGGAAAAGGGCTGGGCCCGGAGCAGAATGTGGCTTCTGTGCAAGGGGTGTTGCTTCAGTCCTCCCGCCTCTTAAGAGCAGGGCATTAGCAACTCTGGCCTGGACTTTGGGTGACAAAGCCCACCTCCCCCACCTCCAGGTGCTCAGGGCTTGGTCACACCTCCAGGCCTTTGCTCAAGCTCCTCCAGCTGCCTGGAGGCTGGTGCACCTAACAATTCCTATTTGGTTTCCAACAAACACCGCATCCTCCCTGCAGCCCCCACCCTCCCCTCTGATGCCCCTCTTGGCTCCCATCCGTGGCGTCCCAGGGCCGGCCCGGCCCAGCTGGGAGAGTCAGTAGTGCACACCCCTTCCCAGTTCCATGTGTGGTCAGGACGTTGGTGCTTGAAATTGGCCATGGTGGACGTATTTACACCATGGAAATGAGCAAACGCTACAAATCGGGCTTTATTGAGGGCCTCCTATGTAGCAGACAGGAGAAAGCAGTGAACAAAATAGTCCTTCCCTCATGGAGCATCTATTGGCTCCATCACCTTTGTCTCTAGAATCTGTTTATCTCCATCCACCCATCGAATTGTTCTTCCAGCTTTTGCATCTGTCTCTCCATCACTTATCCATATTCACCCACCAATGTGCCTGTAGGTCCAGCCATCTAGCCTCCTCCTACACCTCCATCCTCCCAGCTGGGCCCGCTCCTGTCTTCGTTTTGCACCCATGTGTATGATCTGAGCTCCGTCAAAGATGGAGTCAGTCAAGAGCTATGTCTGGCCCAGGCCAGAGCCCCGGTCGGACCCCGGGACCTGGCGTCAGTCAGCCCCAGGAGTTCCCCTCCCCCTTCCCCTCCCCCAGCACACAGCTGTGTGTGTGGAGAGCTGAGCAGCTGCCCTAGGGGACCAGGTGGCTCCTGGAACCTGTTGCCCCCAAGAGGGTGAGAAAACCACAGCCCACCTTGGCTCAGGTGTCTCCAGGGTGATGGTGGGGTGGTGAGGGCTGTTCACACATATGCAGGGGCTGTGGTTTCACATTTGTGCTGCCATTGAGCCACAAACAGCCTCATCCAGGTTAATAATGTTCTAGAACTTTCCACACCACGGGTATTCTCTCAGTGACTTTTCCCAACCACTCAGTTTTACAGATGAGTCACAGAGAAGCTTTCAGATGGACCAACGTGTAGCTCAGACTTGCCCAAAAGGAGAGACGAGCCAGAGCTGTCTGCTTCAGGCCGGGCTGCAGGGGAGGGTAACAGGCGGAGGTCCCAGTGGGGTTCCGGGCTGGGTGGGGATTCCCCTCAGGGCCCTGGAGTGGCCTCTGAGTCACCTCCCAGCTGCTTTCATCATCTGGATGGTCTTGAAAAGTCACCTCTAAAGGTCAAGGCTCTTCGGGGGAAAACAGTCCATTTTCTTTTAAAAAATACGAGTAGAGTGCAATATGCAGCGTTTGTATCACCGCCTGTGCAAAATGATGTTCAGGACGTGCCTTCAAGACATGGCTGAGAACTGTTTTCTTGGCTTCTTAATTCACATTTCAACAGACTTACAAATCATCAGCAAGAACGTGACTCCCCTAACTCCCCAAGCGAGTACATGAGAGCGCTGTCCTTCCTGCCAACTCCCGCTGCCCTGTCCCCACCCTGAGTGCCAAGGGGGTCCCTGGGCCTGTGCTCCCACCCTGTACCGAGCACTCGGCACAATGCCCAGCACGCACTGTGCTCAATAAATATTTCCTGGGCGCATAAAGGGAATTTAAATATGGGCAGAAGGAGCCAGAAAAACAATTTTTGGTGGGTGGGAGGCTGTCTGAAGAGACAAGGCTGACTGATTTTAAGCCCGGAAACACCTCCTACCCCCTCCCCCCAGCCGCCCACGCAGTGCCCCTCTGCAGGGTGGGGATGGCCACAGGCCCAGGCTGTGGCTGCTTTCTCGCCCCCACCCACCTTCAGCACAAGCCTCGGTCCCGCCTCAGAAGGAAGGAAGCTGACGTTTATTGAGGGTCTGCTCTGGGCTGCGCACTAGGTGGGTGACTGCACTGATTGCTCCCGGAGGGCAGCGTGCCATCCACATGTCCAGATAGGAAGTCCCAGCCCAGAGCGGGGACCAGCACCCGAGGTGGCACAGCCAGGAGGCGTCAGAGTCGAGGCTCAGACCTAGCTACAGGCCTCTCCCTGTCCCCAGGTCTTCCCACCTGATCAGGAACAGTATGGCCTTCCTGCAGCTCCTGGAGGGGCAGGCCCCGGGGGCGGGGCTTGGTGTCTGTCACAGGCAGTGTCCTGGTCCCAGGAGGCCTGTGGGCAGCACTGGACCAGATTCTCAAATGTGACCCAGGGGCCAGCCCATGTGCCCTGCAGGGAGGGAGGCTGCCGCCGTGTGCGCACCCGTGCGTGCTGCTCACACACGCAGACACACTGTGCGCCCTGAGCCACACACGCACAGCATCAACTCCAGGCTCAGGGCCCTGGGAGACCAAAGGCTGCAGGCCTCTTCCCACCACAGCCCAGGCGCCCATGCCTCGCCGCCCGGGGGCACGGCCAGTTCTGAACAGCCATCAGCCTCACTAGCTGTCCTGGGGCCCCGGCCCTGCAGGCGGAGGGGCCATGACCACCCACTGGCGCAGGTAGCTCCTGGGGGGCCCTTCGTCCCTGGGGCTGGAGAAGTCACACTCCACGGGGCTGCCGCAGTCAGAGCCTGCGAAGCCGCTGTCGAACGTGTCCATGTCCAGGCCGGCGGGGGGCGAGCCCGCCTCGCTGTCAGACACCCCTCGGGGTGGCCCACCACCCCAAGGCGGCCCTGGCGCCCAACCCGCCTCATCTTCCAGGGGCAGCATCAGTTTGTCAAGGAGGCTGCCCAAGGGGGCCCCCAGCCCGGCAGGGCCACCAGCTGCAACGCAGCCACAGGACAGGACTGTGGCCCCAGGGCCCAAGAGCGGGTCCTCGGTGCCCGGGCCAGGCTCCAGGCCAGCGTCCAGGTTCAGGGCTGGGTAGCCATCTTCCCCACAGGTACAGGGCCAGGCGCACGGCTCCTCTGCACCCACCACGGTCACCGTGTCGATGGACACCAGGCCATAGGGCCGGTCCCCCTCCTGGCTGTAAGCTGAGCTGCCCGCACTGCCAGTGCAGGGGGCAGGGCCCCAGTAGCCCGGCTCGGGCTCGGGCTCGGGCTCGGGCTTAGGGGCGCTGTCGGTTTCCACCAGATCCGCAGGCGCGGGCAGCAGCGTGGTCTCCAGCCCCTGGGCTGCACTCAGCGGGGGGCAGCAGTTGTACATCTCCAAGGGCGAGGGCACCCCTGGGCTCCAGGGGCCCAGGTCCAGGCTGGAGGCAGTGAAGGGCGTGCCCACCCATTTCTGTGAGAGAGAACGGGAGGGAGAGTCACGCATGGGACGGGGGCCAGGGAGGGTATAAACTCAGACCATGGGCCGCTCGGGGGCCTGCGGGGGCCAAAATACAGGAGACCCTGAGGTCTGAGTGACAGAGCCCCCACCTGTCCCTGTTTTATTTCTTAAAACCCAGCGTTCTCCTGTTTGTGTCCCCACTACAGCAGACACTCGGCCAGGGCACAAGTCCCGGTTCTTCTGGTCACAGCTGCACCCCGAGGCTCACGCAGTGCCTGGAACACAGTCAGTGGCCGAGAAATGTTTAACTAACTATAATGAGAGACCGCCAGCTTGGAATGGCCTACGTGTGCACGGTGGCTAAGGGCTGTGGGGCCGTGAGAGACTGAGGCAGCGGCCCCTAAGCGCTGAGGATCCCCCTCTTGACACAGGGTCCCCATCCAATCAGCAGAGAGAATCCCCGAGAACTGGAATCTCCTCGATGTGAGCCTCTCGCCTCTGGAAAGCTCATCTCAGGACCCTGACGTGGCTGCCACCACTGCTTTCAGTCACTTCTCAGCTGTGTGGCCTTGAGGCAGTTACTTACTCTCTCTGGGCCTCAGTGTCCCCATCTGTGAAGTGGGCCTGCGCATAGGACCCACTCCTCAGGGTTGCTGTGAGCATTAAGTGAGTTAATATCTGCCCAGGACACAGCAAATGCTATGAGTACTGGTAAAATGGATACAAAATAGAGGTGATATCGAAGGCTCTGGGAAGGAGCAGAGGAAAGAGGAAGGGTCCACCCACGTGGGCTGGAGTCCACGCTCCTCCCCTCCCCAGGAAAGCCACTTCTGCGATCTGAGCAGGGTCTCCTCACAGGCCCCTGGGGGTGGAGCGCCCGCCCTGCAGGGGCTGCGGGGAAGGTGTGGGGTGGAGCCCAGAGCGCTCAGCGCAGCTCCAGGCAGCTGGCAGGAGCTCAATCAATGCGCCAGCCCGCATTTCCTGACTTCCAGGCTCCTCCCGCCTCACCACATCCTCTGCGGGGGAGGCCCCTCCTGCCACCGAGGGTGGGTGTTGAGCGGTAAATGGGCCCAGAGAACCGTGGGCGCTGTGGTGGCTGTGGTGGTTGAAGCTTGGCAGGGGGTTGGTGCATTTTGCAGGCGGGTCCCTCCCTTTCCAGAACAGCTCCCTCTCCACCCTCACACCAGGGCATCTAAGACCCAGGAAGCCAATTTGTGGCCCCAGGGTGCACCTGGCCCAGCCCACCCCCCGCTGGCTCCTGGGGCTGGGAAAGGCTGCATGATCTTGACGAACTCTGCCCCGGAATTACTTCCTGCACTTGGCAGATGCCAAGATCGAGGTCTGGCTTCTGGCCTGGCTGGGCCTGCAGCTGGGGCTGGGGCTGGGGCTGGGGCTGAAGCTGAAGCTGAGGCTGGGGCTGGGGCTGGGCTGGGCCTGAAGCTGAGG